CTCTATCTGTATACCCCTTAAAACTTAAATACATTTTCCATGAAAGTAAGAGGCGAGGGTACAAGGAGCACACTAAGAAAACACCAAGTGTGAAGGGACCAAAACTTTTCGATGTCTTCCATTCAAACATAAGGGAAAGTACCAACAAACCTCTGGCTGTGTTCAAGAAAGAACTGAACATATCTTTCAAGTCAGCCCCTGATCAGCCAGGCTATGGTGCTTACGTTGGACTTCGTACAGTAAGCACCAACACCTTGGCTGATTAAGCCATCCATCGGGAAACCTGGTTTGAGACTGGGAAGCGAGGGCGTTGACTCCTCTGAACACATTGTAGGTCCGACTTGGACCAGTCACGGTATTGTCCCTTTTTGTTATTTACAGGGAGGGTAGACTCCAGTAGGCAGCCTTCAAAACAGTATGTTTGGTGCTGGGTGGTTTGAAAGCCTTAAATAAGTAATCAACTTCATAATGCAAGATTTACTGGTGAATGTGTGTCAGCTGTTATATTATCACGGGAAATTACCCTGCTGACTATGAGCAAATTATTTCTGCGAACGGTTACAATCACTACCAAGTGTTCAATGCTGACGAGACAAGGCAATATTGGAAGCGTATACGTCAAGACCATACATTAGAATGTAAGAAACGAAGTGCAGACGGTTTGAAGGCAGCTAAAGATCTCTTAACCTAGCTTCTCTGTGCAAATGCAACGTAATTTCCAATGCAAGCCTATGCTAATTTATCACGTAGAGAATCCCTGTGCTTTAAATAGTTAAGGCAAAACACACTTGCCTGATGTTTAGCGGTCTAACAAAGTAACAGGGATGGTTGAGCCCTATTTATTGACTGCCTCGAGAAATACTTCATTCCTGGTCATAAGGAATCTTGTATTCAAGGGTCTCCTCAAATCTTGCGGTCAGTGAACCCAAATGGTTAAGTCGTCTTTTTACCATTCAATATGACCTCTTCGATACAGTCACTGAATTTAGGAGCTCCTAAGACATTTAAGCGCCATTACAAACGATAAGCAATTTAGGAACTCATCACAGCAATAAATCTAACACTGCAGATGCACGTAAAGTTGCGAAGAAACTAAGTGTTCCAGTCAATAGTACACGCAAGCTGGGGTCACTTATGGCCTTGGGTGGTGAATAATTATTCGGATGTTATACAGATCCAGGAAATTATGGCCCTGACAAAGACAAAGACATGTTGAAGAAATTGAGACACTTATGCAACGTATGGGAATCTTTATTGAAGAAACGTTTCGCAACACAGTGGCTTCATCAGTCTTATACAAAGCAGGTAAGTATAAGGAGAAGAGTAGTTTGAGGTAATCAGTCCCTCAGCCTGGAGTCGATGTGTTCAGTCCATCAACCTTGTAGAAAGTACAGCACAGGGCCGTAGTAGTGGCTTCTATACTGTAGTGAGGTGAGGCGAAGCAGGAGGAGGCGGGGTCATAGTGGTACCATCCACTAGTGTAAGTAGGTCTTCGTCCAAAGATTGGACAAGTTTTGAAGAATTCTTTGTATCAAGATCCCATGATAATGCAGCATCTGACATATGTGAAGAATGGTTTTGAAAACCGACAAGTTGATGGTTCCACTATGACCCCGCCTCCTCCTGCTTTGCCTCACCTGACTACAGTATACAAGCCACGTCTAGGCTGAGGGACTGATTACTTCAAACTCCTCCTCTCCTTATACCTTCCTGTTTTGCATAAGATTGATGAAGCCACTGTGTGGCGAAACGATTCTTCAATAAAGATTCCCATATGTCACATAAGTGTCTCAATTCATCAACTTGTCAGTTTTCAAAACCATTCATCACAACTGAGAGACATGAAGGATTTGACCATAAACATGAACAAGATGTAAATGAACTAACTGCTAGAAGAGAATGAGGAAGACTCAATTGCAGAAGAAATGCTGAAAGAGTTAAATTCCTAGTTAAGATACAAGTAGGTAAAAGAAGAGGATGAGGAATAACTTAACAAGACAACAGTTATATCAGCAGTTCCATGTTACTGGTTAAGGTGCAAAAAATTCACCGCAAATGATCGTGTTAAGTCTAGAAGCACAAGTCTGAAAAGAATTTTGGAGCATACATTGTTGCCTTATTACTTTGTAAACAGCACCGCAAATACAGACCAGAAATACATTACAGAATACTAGAGTACTCCAGTATAATTATCAATTGCTAACAACTCTAGCATCCACCAACACAAGAACCACAGTTAGCCACCTCAACAAAGTTCTGCCACGTGTAACCTTCTCCATACACTTCCACGTCAATAAACAACTTTGATATACTTTTGAAGAGTTTCGAGAGTTAATCTACTCCCTGAGCCCGGCCATGGGCCAGGCTCGTCTGGTGCTTGCCTGGTCAACCAGGCTGTTGCTGCTGGAGGCCCGCTGCCCCACATATCCATCACAGCCTGGTTGATCTGGCACCTGGTGAAGATACTTGTCCAGTTTCCTCTTGAAGGCTTCTACACTTGTTCCAGCCGTGTTTCTGATATCTTCTGGTAAGATGTCTGGGACTCCGGATGTTGATACAGTGTTCCCTCATTATGCCCACCGCACCCCTGTTCCTCACTGGGTTTATTTTGCACTTCCTCCCATATCTCTCATTCCAATATGTTATGGCAGTGTGCAGATGTGGGACCAGGCCCTCGAGTATTTTCCAGGTATATATTATCATGTATCTCTCTCTCCTCCGCTCCAGTGAATACATGTTCAAGACTTGAAGGCGTTCCCAGTAATTTAGGTGCTTTACAGGCTCAATGCGAGCCGTAAACTATCTCTGCTTTTGTTCCAGCTCCGATATTTCTCCTGCTTTGAACGGGGCCGTCAACACTGAGCAATATTTTAAGTGAGGGAGCACTATTAATTTGTACCTAGTAAACTATTTTAAAGTCTGGTAAATTTGGAGATCTCTGGAACATAACCATATTTATTCTTTGTCACACAAAATAATTTTTATAATGGGCCAATTTTCCCCCCCAAAAAAAAAATATATTCCTTCATATTATGGGAGGGTTTACTGTGTACAGATGTATCGACATTTATGAGGTAATATGTGGTTGGTGGCAGTAACCCTAATGTAAAGTGTCCCACATGTTTAGCCAGGAGAGTCAACAATACTGACGTTAAAAAAATGGTGACCAAAGATATGGGATTTTTCTCGATAACACAAATCTATGTACCTAATTAGCTCAGCTGCGGCTAATTTATGGCAACTAATTTATTGAAACGGCTTTGTTAAAGAAAGGTTATATCGAATCCTGTACTAAAAAAACTGTTCCCCATAATAAATTGTTATAAAAATGCTTTTTACATTTTAACAAAGAATGAACGTAAAAAATCGAATTTTGAAGAGGCATCCTAACCTAATGTAACCCAACCAAACCCACCCTAACCCGTTTGGGTTCCGCCCAAGTCCAACACTCATTTATGAGGTAATATGCGGGTGGTAGGAGCAACCCTAAGGCAGAGTGACCCACATGTTGTGCAATATCAGTGATGGTGACTATACTTGAAGATGATAGACGTGCAAGTGTAGCCAGGAATAATTAGTGTGACAATACTGAGTTGCAGAACCTCTCAAACCTGAGCTAATGACGTTACATCGTGTGGGCCATTGTGAGTCATCTTGTGAGGTATCTTTTGGATCATCACACGAGTCATCCTGTACGTCACCACACGAGGCATCCTGTACGTCACCACACGAGGCCCCTTGTACGTCACCACACGAGGCATCCTGTACGTCACCATGCGAAGCATCTTGTACGTCACCACACGAGGCATCCTGTATGTCATCACACGGGGCATCTTGTACGTCACCACACGAGGCCTCTTGTACGTCACCACACGAGGCATCCTGTATGTCATCACACGAGGCATCTTGTACGTCACCACACGAGGCCTCTTGTACGTCACCACACGAGACATCCTGTATGTCATCACACGAGGCATCTTGTACGTCACCACACGAGGCCTCTTGTACGTCACCACACGAGGCATCCTGTATGTCATCACACGAGGCATCTTGTACGTCACCACACGAGGCATCTTGTAAGGCACCACACGAGGCATCTTGTACATCACCACACGAGGCATCCTGTAAGTCATCACACGAGGCCTCTTGTACGTCACCACACGAGGCATCCTGTACGTCACCATGCGAGGCATCTTGTACGTCACCACACGAGGCATCCTGTATGTCATCACACGAGGCATCTTGTACGTCACCACACGAGGCATCATGTACGTCACCACACGAGGCATCCTGTATGTCATCACACGAGGCATCTTGTACGTCACCACACGAGGCATCCTGTATGTCATCACACGAGGCATCTTGTACGTCACCACACGAGGCATCATGTACGTCACCACACGAGGCATCCTGTATGTCATCACACGAGGCATCTTGTACGTCACCACACGAGGCATCATGTACGTCACCACACGAGGCATCCTGTATGTCATCACACGAGGCATCTTGTACGTCACCACACGAGGCATCTTGTAAGGCACCACACGAGGCATCATGTACGTCACCATAAGAGGCATCCTGTAAGTCATCACACGAGGCACAGAACACAAGTTGAGGAGCACCAACACAGATAACCTAACTTCCCTCCCCCAGCGCCCTATATGTGGCCCCACCCGTGACGTCACGCAGGTAAGAGGTCACTACGTCATCAATCTAACCGGTGGTTTTTAGATATCACCGCCATGGCGTCACACAGGTAAGCTCCCGGCGTCGCGCAGGTAAGGTCATTAGCTCACCATCTTGGCGCCACTGCCACTTTCCCCTGAATGATAACGGAAATTCCCTAGATATACCCTAATAAGACTCAAGTTATATTGTTTTTAACGCACTTTCACAGTGAACAATTTGTTTCCACCACCAAGTACATGAAGATGTCAGGTAGGTACAACGGATCCAAAGTTTATCTACATAATTATACAACAATAAGAAGCGATTAATACCTTTTAAAAGTGCGCCAGAATCGACGGTCCGAGCTGGGAGAGTTAGCCTTCAAGGTCCTCATTGTGAGGTGTTGTGGTACTTTGGTAAGAGGGTGATAGGCGGGGGATGGTGTGGTCCATGAGGTGGAGGTGGACGTGGGGTAGGGGCGGGTTGGCACACAACCACAACACAGGTCCCATGCAGGGGGCGCTTCACCCAACCCCCTCCTCCTGCTGCTGCTGCTGCTGCTGCTGCTGGTGTAGAGAGTAACGGCGCGCTGCTGACCCCCCTTGCTGTCAGCAGACTGAGGTGTGGCCATCCTCTCACACTTGTGCACCAGCACACACACCTTCCCTGTACACCTGAGCCACAGCCACCGCCCGCCTAGGCTCCAGTCACCTGTACACTGGCATGACACCCATCATACACCAGTCTTCAAATAACTGTCACGACCTTCACGATTCACACTCGTCCAACGGCGAAAACGATTCTTCCGGACGTACACAACTTCTGGGCAAGATTTTTAACGTATAAAGTGCATTCATCTTCCAAGAGTCCATGAGGAGTAGAAATCTAAGTGTCATGCATGTAGCACATGCATGCAGCTGATCCCACTAAATACGTATACCATTTATCCTTTTTCTCAAACTTCTTACAATATGCTATGTGTACATACAGTTTGAAGCGCCAGTGGAACTCAGTCTGTAAGGACTAAATATAACAAGTGTAATTTATAATCATTTTGACAAACACTGGTGTGTCTACACGCTTAAGTAACACTTCAAGGAATACAAGCAAAACAAAAACTTATGGCTTCACTGTAAACCCGGAGGCCCAGGCCAGATCAACAGTATCCCCACACAACTAGTGTGAATTTACACAGCTATACATCCAGTGGGGTGCTAAGCATCAGCACCACGATGCCACTGTATGACAAGATGGCACAACTTATGAGTAAAGGTAGTGTGGCAGAGCAGGAGTGCGTTGAGGAGCAGAGCGCAGGTGGGTGGCGAGAAGCAGGAACCGTGTGTGGAGAATCAACAGGTGGGGAGAGAGAAGCTTGTAGCGCGATGGCCACCGAGTCAGGTACTGGCGTCCCAGGTGCTTAGCCGTGACAACTATGCCCACCACCACCACTTTTCCTTCTGCTGCTGCTGCAGCTGTTGCTCCTGTTCACTGTGACTGCTTCGGCAGCTGCTGCACCTGTTGTGACTGGTACTGCCGGCCCTGCCACAATAAATGATTCACTGTTAACACTGCTACACTCACTGCCTCGACCCACTGCTGGCAGGCAACTCTTCAGATCGTTACCATTACACAATATACCAATGAATTATCTCTCTCCCAGAAGAGACGAAGTTCATTTCTTTTTGAATAAGTGGTGTAAAAGTATGGTGATAACGAGAGATAAGGCTGCGGGGGTGGGGGATTCCGGGGACCAGCTAATGTGCAAGTGAGGCCAGTCAGACAGGTAGTGGTGGAGAGCGGGAAAAAGTGGTAGAGATTCGAACGGACACCAAGGTGGCGTGAGACGCAGCCTACTTGTACCACTACTGGCAAAAGACTATACTGACCAAGAACTGCGCACCGTCCCTCATGCTCTCCACCAGTGCACACACACACATACACACACATTGTTGAATTAATGACTGGCACATATATCAAGCCACACCAAGGTTTTCTGTGAAATACTCCTATATAAGTGACATTGCACATGACCACTATGCGATTCTTAACCATGGGCAACATGTGAGGATATACAAATTAATAGGAGCATCAAGATTTGCCAGAGGGCACAATTCATTAAGATGCCAGTATTGGCAGAGGCGGGTGTTTATAATGTTTATAATGCGGTGGCAAGAAGGCCAGAAGCCGCACGCTCAACCCTTTATCACTCTAGTAAAATACACTTCACTTACGTCACATCTTCCTCCAATACAACAAAAGCACATATAAGACTCAAACTAATTTGCATTCTCATACAAAAGTTGGCAAGAAAGGTAAATCGTGGGTGGATGAGCCAGTCAGTAGCTAGTATGCTAGTGCATACTAGTGGAAATGCCCAGATGATAGGAACACGGGACTCCAGCCACACTCCTGCAAGAACCCGTACCTCGCCATCGATTGCACACCAGGAAAGAGGTCGCAAAATTTAATGGTGGGACCAATAGTGTATTCAATGCTTGTCAATAAAAAGAGAAATAACCATACATTATAAACCAATAAATATTCCCAACATTAGGTTAAAATATCTCGCATCAGTTTAAAGAACCAACACAAAGTGGTTAACATTAAAAGGCACTGGTAAAATTCCCCGAGGTCAACAGGCGCACCTGCAGTGATAAAATCCCCAACATCAAAGTTTACCAGGGGGTCAAGATGACCATACTTGTGCCAGGAACACAGACATTAACCGATACTCATGCCCAGCGACACTCCAGAAAAGAACAATCATGCCCACACAATTTGCCACAACCATATCTATCTACTAGTACAGTTACTTATGACCAACCCGCCCTCCCGCCAACCCACCCTCCCAACAACCCACCCAAAACCCACACACACATCCACCTACTATCTTCAACAACCTTGCTCCACAATGCATTCCACAACAAAACCTTCCCTTAATAAACACACACAGCCCACAGACACAATCCACACACAACCCCCCACACTGATCCTCCCACACTCGCAACGCCTCCCCCACGCGCGCGCGCGCACACACACACACACACACACACATGTGGAACAGTCGAGAGAGATGTAGTGGAGGCAGGTTACCTTTGCCTTTGATATACCTTCGAAGAGTTTCGAGAGTTTAACTACTCTCGGAGCCCAGCCTAGGGCCAAGCTCGTCTGGTCAACCAGATTGTTGCTGCTGGAGACCCGCTGCCCCACATATCCATCACAGCCTGGTTGATCTGGCACCTGGTGAAGATACTTGTCCAGTTTCCTCTTAAAGGGCTCTACACCTGTTCCAGCAGTGTTTCTGATATCTTATGGTAAGATGTTGAATAGTCTGGGACTCCGGATGTTGATACAGTGTTCCCTTACTGTCCCCACCACACCCTTATTCCTCACTGGGTTTATTTTGCACTTCCTCCCATCTCTCTCACCCCAGTATGTTATGGCAGTGTGCAGATGTGGGACCAGGCTCTCGAGTACTTTCCAGGTATATATTATCATGTATCTCTCTCTCCTCCGTTCCAGTGAGTACATGTTCAAGACTTGAAGGCGTTCCCAGAAATTTAGGTGCTTTACTGGCTCAATGTGAGTCGTAAACGATCTCTGTATTTGTTCCAGCTCTGATATTTCTCCTGCTTTGAACGGGGCCGTCAGCACCCAGCAATATTCTAAATGAGGGAACACTAGCGATTTGAAGAGTGTCACCAACGGCATTATTTCCCTTGTTTTGAAAGTTCTCAATACTCACCCCGTCTTCCTGGCTGTCGTGATCTTTGTCTTGTTATGGTCTTTAAAAGAAAGGTCAGCTGACATAATTATTCCCAGGTCTTTTACGTGTTCCTTTCGTTCTATTTGGTGACCATCTTGAGTTTTGTATATGGTGTTCCTTTTGAGTTCTTCATTCTTTCCATACCTAAGCAGCTGGAACTTATAACCACTGAATGTCATATTGTTCTCCACTGCCCACTGGAAAACCCTGCTTTTGTCTTCCTGTAATTTTTCAGTGTCCTCTACCGTAGTGGCTTTCATGCTTATTTTAGTGTCATATGCAAATGATGATACAAAAGTGGGACAGGTGTTTTTATCTATGTCTGCTCTGAGGATGAGAAACAGCAGAGGTGCCAGGACAGTGTCTTGGTGCACTGAGCTTTTGACCTTGCTGATGCTGGATCTTGCTCGGTTTACTACTACTTTTTGTGTTTTGTGTGTTAGGAACCCGAAAATTCATCTGCCTACCTTCCCTGTAATGCCCATGGCCCTTATTATGTGCGCTCACTCCATGATCGCGTTTGTCAAACGCCTTTGCAAAATCTGTGTAGATCACATCTGTGTTTTGGTCGTCTTCCAACGCCTCCGTAATTCTCTCATAATGGTTCAGCAGCTGTGACCGGCATGATCGTCCTGCTCTAAAACAATGTTGGTTCGGGTTGTGCCGGTCCATGAAATTTGTAATCTGCCGTCTCATCACTCTTTCGAAGATTTTTATGATGTGAGAAGTTAGGGCTACTGGTCTATAATTTTAGCTAGTGCTCTACTACCTCCCTTATGCAAAGGAGCTATGTCTGCACTCTAAGGCCTCCGGTATTTCACCTACATCTAAGCTCTTTCTCCAAAGAATACTGAGGGCTCGTGCTCGTGGTATTTTGCACTACTTTATAAACAGAACATTCCATGAATCTGGTCCAGGTGCTGAGTTAGTGGGCATGTCATCCATTTCTTTTTCGAAATCTATGGAATTTGTAGTAAAGTCAGTTAGATGGTCTGCACGGCCTTCTCCTTGCGTGAAAAATATTTCTGTATTTTTTACCTTACTGTCATTTAGTGGGTTGCTGAACACCGACTCATACTGTTCTTTTAGGATTTCACTCATTCCCTGTTCATCGTCAGTATACGAGTCTCCTCTCAATACTGGTCCAATTCTACAGGTAGTTCTTAGCTTGGATTTTGCATAAGAATGGAAACATTTTGGGCTTCTTGCAATATCCTGTATGACCCTTCGTTCCCTTTCTACTTCTGTTAGGTATGACAGCTTAAGTTTTTGCTCTAATTCAGTGATCTCTCGGCTAAGTATCTTTTCTCTGTTGTAACATATTTGCGTTTTTAAGCAATTCAATGGCCCGTTTTCTTCTACTGTACCATCTCCTACGCTCTCTTTCTATATCTGATCTTCTGGGTCCATGCATAGCTTTAACAAGAGATACGATAAAGCTCATGGAGCAGGGAGAGAGTGGATCTAGTAGCGACCAGCGAAGAGGCGGGGCCAGGAGCTGTGAATCGACCCCTGCAACCACAAATAAGTGAATACAAATAGGTGTGTACATGTATCCACCCCCCTAATTTAAGCAGATTCTGAACACATCCAAAATTACGGTAATTACCTCTTACGGCCAACTATTATCAGCACTTCTGCTCGTATGTAATAAATCGTCTAAGCTACTTGAGACCACCTCGAAGCACTCCCAATGTATTTATTCTCCGGAATGCGAACACCAGACAGATCGAATGCCGAGAAATATACCAAGGACAGGCTCCCTATCTGCTCACTAAATTAACCACCTAGTGACGAGAGATATCCAGGTGTAGAATAAACCAGATGACGAGCAGGGATGCCATAAACAAAACTGGTGATACGTCTTCGATATACCTTTGAAGAATTACCTTTACCTTTTGAAGAATTACCTTTATTTTGCATTTCGATATCCTCTTTCTTCAGTCTACCTCCCTAGTATAATTTTAAACACGGCATTTTAAAAGCGGCATTTTAAAAGCGGCATTTTAAAAGCGGCATTTTAAAAGCGGCATTTTAAAAACGATATTTCAAAAACGATATTTTAAAAACGATATTTTAAAAACGATATTTTAAAAACGATATTTTAAAAACGGTATTTAAAAAAAAAAGATATTTTAAATGGTATTTCAAAATTCTTTATTATATCAACGTTTTTTTTAGGTATTACTTTTTTTTTTTACTTAATCCAGCCTTGGTTCCAACACCCGCTGATACAGCTTGCTAAAAACATCGTATTGTTTAATTAACTTGCATTGACGTATCCATCATCTTAGTCACCATCCTCTTCGTACTTTAATTTCCTCTTATTCAAGTTCTCATTTAATAAACATACAAGTTGCTCTTGCAATACATGTACTGTACTTGTCACAGCCTACCTTTAAAGGGTTGCTGTACTGATGCAAGTGAAGAGCTCTTGATCCAAAGAACTGGAGCTACACTCCACTTTTTCGGATCAAACCTGATTGTTTCCCAATGGCCCAAGAGTTGTATGTCCGCTATAGGTTTACTGCTTCCTGTGTAATAATTAATAATAATAATAATAATAATAATGCATGAGCCTATCCATCAAGATATCATGCAATAATACATGACTGGGCCCAGTGAGTACCTTTCGAACTCCTCGACACTTCCAGGTTCATCAACACTTACTAATACCCACTTCTCACATCCCACTTTCATCCTCTCCTACATTAATTAATCTTGGATTAAAACACTATTACCCTTTATTTAATTTTTACAATTTACGCCACAAAATCGTTACACTTTCGTTCGTTCTCTCTCTCTCTCTCTCTCTCTCTCTCTCTCTCTCTCTCTCTCTCTCTCTCTCTCTCTCTCTCTCTCTCTCTCTCTCTCTCTCTCTCATAAACTAGCTTTCAAGAAGGGTACCGTGACGCTGGTGAAGCTCTTGATCCAAAGAACTAGAGCTATTTCCCCTTCCTGGGATCAAACCTTATTGCCCAGGCGCTGTATGACCTGAGTTCACGGCTTCACAACGAATAACAATCAAACTTATAACATTAACAGTTGAAGAGGGTAGTCTGTCGGTAAATTCCGGAAATTCTGAAAAAAAAAACTATGATTATGGTACCGACAAACTCGTTTAGAAAGACATGTAAGCTAACACTTGAACATATATATTAGAATAAATGTCCTAGTGTTTGCT